GAGGTTCCCCAAAAAATTAAAATTAGAATTACCCTACAACCCAGCAACAGCACTACCGGGAATTTATCCACAGGATACAAGAATGCTGATGCATAAGGGCACAGGCACCCCAATGTTTACAGCAGTGCTATCAACAATAACCAAGTTATGGAAAGAGCCTAAATGTCCATCAACTGATGAATGGATAAAGAAGATGTGGTTCATATATACAATGGAATACTACTTGGCAATGAGAAAGAATGAAATCCTGCCATTTGCAGCAACATGGATGGAACTAGAAGGTATTACGTTAAGTGAAATAAGTCAGTCAGAGAAAGACAAATATCATATGTTTTCACTCATATGTGGAACTTGAGAAAGTTAACAGAAGACCATGGTGGAAGGGAAGGGGAAAAAATAGTTACAAACAGAGAGAGGGAGGCAAACCATAAGAGACTCAAATACAGAGAACTGAGGGGGGTGGGGGTGTGGGGGAGAGGGGAAAATGGGTGATGGGCACTGAGGAGGGCACTTGTTGGGGTGAGCACTGGGTGTTGTCCGGAAGCGATGAACCACAGGAATCTACCCCAAAACCAAGAGCGCACTGTACACACTGTATGTGAGCCAATTTGACAATAAATTATATTTTAAAAGATAAAAAACTAAAAACTAAAAAAACAAAACCAATATAAAACCCTTACTACACACATACACACACAAAGAACTAGGAATCTTACAGATAACATGAGAACTACATTAATCTATTAAAATGAAAAAAGCCTAAGATAAAGTCAGCTATTAAGAAGTGAGAGCCATGAATTGAGGATTTTTTACCCATGGAGAGCAAGGATTTGCTACTCATAGACACTGTCAGGCAAACTCTCTGTTAGATGCTCACTTGTAACTCCATGAATTACATATTTTCTCCATTTTACAGATGCTGAAGCTGGCTCAGAAACTAACCTGACCAGTGACACAATGGGTCAAGCAGAAAAGTTAGGATTCAGAGTCTGGTCCAAAGGCTGGACTCAAGACTCAAGCTGTCTCATCACGCTGCCCGACCCAAAAAAACAAGCAGATGCAATTCTGGAGGAGTAATTGGGCCGAACAGGTAAGAGGGCTCTAAAACTACAGTATCTCACAGCATTCTTTCCTCTTTATAGTACTAACCAGAAAGTTCTTCAACAGGGGCTTTTTGTCCACACCGCTCTTCCTGGTGGCCAGGTTGCTATAGTATCTGCATTATCAACGAGTTCAGGTTTAAGAGCAATCACTAAACTTAACTGCCCCCTTCACTAACAGGATAGCAGATGTGAGGACCAAAGGTGCTTGAAGGCAAAACTTGGTCACACCATGCCATCCTAGCACCTGTCAGCTGGAACTGCCTGCACACTCGTCACTACCTGCCACAATCCCTGCCCCAGACTGGGAACCCAGCGAGAGCAGGTGCTTTATCCTACTTCCCACCGGAGCCTCGGCACGTAGCAGTGCCTGGCATACAGCAGCCCTTAAGTATTTGTTCAATGCTCCTACTAGGTGGCAATTAAAAATAAGGCAAGAAACAAATTAGGAGAGAACTTCCCACATTTAAGTGTGTAAAGCAGGATTCTTCTCTATGACTCAACTCTTATCAAATTATATACACTAAAGCCCAGCCCACCCCACCCCGCTGTATCGCCCAGGAGCATCTTAGATGTAGGTAAGTAGGTAACTGCAGCCTCTCTGGAAAAGCCATGTGAGAAGCAGCTCGCTTACAAACTGTCACCAGCCATTTGGAGTCCCTGCCCAACAGGTCACTTGGGGGTGCCAATCTGGAATCCAGGTCAGGAGTTCGCCAGGGCCAGACTCCTTTCAGCCACCACCGTAAGATCGCTTGCATCCAGGCTTCAAATGCTCTAGGGGCCAACCAGCCTCCCAGGACGTCGAAGCACACCCAGGACACCCCCTCAAAGTAAATGTCACAAAGACGCATGGCACGTACCATAAATCAAACCATCTCAAGTAAAATCTCCCAGCATGTTCACCAATGCATTTTCATTTGATATAGTCAACAAAAACGCTTATTTACAGAAAAATATGCACAGAAAATTCTGAAGGATGGACATTCTGAATAACCTAAATGTCCTCTCCTAATGCAGGATTGTATGATCGTGCAATTCATTCTTTGCATGCTGCAGAAGTTTTTCTACAGGGAACGTTAATTCTGTAACAGCTGTCAAACACTTACTGGATTAACAAAGCTAAAGATCACCTATCCAGGGCACTGGACACCGAAGGGCTACTCCAAAATTATACTGAAAATTATTCTGAAAAAGAGATCACCTCTGTCATTCAACAAAACCGAAGTGGCCCAGTGCTCACGTGCCACAATACACAAAAACACGTGGTCCCTGCTTTTGATGGAAAGTGATAGGCGAGGCAAGGTGTATACATACAAAACTGTTACAACGCCAGGCAGTATATGCTAAAGGCATATAAACAGGAGGGCTTCCCACAAGTTCTGAGGAAGCATGTACTCTTGTGAGCTGGATGGAGGGCTTCATGGAAAAGGGAATCTTAAACAGGACCTTTCAGAAGGATTCAAACGCAAACTCAAAAGAGCAATTCAGAAAAGGAAAAGTCTGAGCACACTGATATCTGGCAGTCAGCATGTGCATCTGATTGTAACGGAGTACAGAATCCGAATCTTTTTTCTAGGGAATGGTAAAATGTACAGTGTTGGGGGGCTGGGGCGGCGGTGCGGGAACAAGGGAATAGGGGAAAGAACAGAGGCTCAGGGGCAAAGAAATTTGGGAAATTTGGGAAAACCGGGTTTAACAAAGTTAACGGGCATGTCTTTATTGCTGGAGTTCTCTAAGCTCTTAGAAGGATAAAGTGCATTGAACCTCCTCCCCTGAGGAAGAAATCTAGTCTTTTTGACCACACAATCCTTTTTCACTGAAGAGATCAATGGATAGCAAAACACCTTCGGAAACACGTTTAACAAATAACAAAAGCAAAACAATAAAGAGGTTGAATGTCAAAGGCAAAGTGTGTAGTCTGGCCTTGGGCCTTCCAATAGGGCCTGGATTTTCCCCAGAACAAAGGAGGCACTGATGTACCGTGAGTGTCTGCACAGAACTCAGAACCAGGTATTGCTGCTGCCACATCTCCATCCACTTGTCAGAATCCCCGGCGGGCAGCCCCTCCCCTGTTCTTCTGAGAGCACCTTGTCAGTCAGCAGTGACTTCCGGGTGACCTGCAGGCCTCGGACACACACCTTCTCATAAAGTGATGCAGGGACTTCCAGGAGCAACGGGGGGCACGGGACGATCCCAAGCACAGCATGAGAAAAAGGGCAAGTGTCTTTAAAGTCTTGAGTGGTATAGAACAGCTCTTTCAAACTAGAGGTGGCAAGGCATTTGTTATAAACTCAGTTCAGGGGGTTATAACCAGCATTTCTTTATTAAAAAAAGAAAAGAAAAAGAAAAAAAGACAAATAGATGTGTCGCATGTACAAAGAGCAAATAATACTTGATGAAACTTGTCTGTTACACATACTGTATTTTTTTTAATGTTTTATTTATTTCTGAGATAGAGAGGCAGCGTTGAGCAGGGGAGGGTCAGAGAGAGGGAGACAGAGAAGCTGAAGCAGGCTCCAGGCTCTGAGCTAGCTGTCAGCAGAGCCCGACACGGGGCTCGAACCCACGAACCATGAGCGTGAACCGAAGTCGGATGCTTAGCTGATTGAGCCACCCAGGCGCCCCGAGTTACATACTGTATTGAACTCTGTGTTCCGGACTGCAGTTCACATAGATTTCCTACTCAGATCATAGCTAAAAGGTCTGAAAGTCACTGCTCCAGTAGACGGGAGAACTTAGGACAGGGGCCGGAGGCTGCTGCCCTCCCCCAGATGAATGGAAGACCCTTTAAGTCAGTGGGAACGTAGCAGCAGAAAGAATAATCCAAAGAGGGGGCGCCTGGGTGGCTCAGGCAGTTGAGCGCCTGACGCTTGATTGCAGCTCAGGTCATGATCTCCTGGTTCATGGGATCAAGCCCAGTGTCAAGCTCTGTGCGGAGCCTGCTTGGGATTCTCTCGCTCCCTCTCTCTCTGCACCTCCCCAGCTCGTGCCCACACACTCTCGCACTCTCCCTCTTTCAAGATAAATAAAGAAACTTAAAAAAGAAATCAGAAGAGAAATTTAAAAACCACGAAGGGACCGGGGAGAAGGGAAATCACTGAGAGCACTAAGGTATTACGCTGGGTCCTCTGGGGGGAAAGCGGCCATCATCACAAGCAGGCAGGCTGTGAGGGAGAGCGGGCTCACGGTCCCCAGGGGAGGCAAGGCCACATGCACGGCGAGACGAGTTTCGGGAGAGGGGAGAGGACAGCCATGCAGAAGTACCAAAAAAGCTCTCCCACAGCACGAACTCAAAACAGGTCCCAAACATCGCTTTAATTTCAGTCACCTCTTACAACACCATATTCTCTTTCAGTTAAACAATGGTTTAAATTTAAGCTTTGTCCTCAACCAAGTGGTTGTGACTCCAAAAAGCACATAATCACACGAAAGAACCAATACCATCAGTTAAGTCTCCGGCTATTACATTATTTACCATCCCAAGGGCTTCACTTCGATTTAGCATTTGATGGATAGGTACAGCCGGATCCGTCATCCGGCTGCGCGCGTGCGTACGGTGACCGCGCCAGCCCGGGGACGTGGGAGCCACAGGAGCCCTACCGCAGCAGCACCAGGAGCGCGCCACGTGGCCCGTGCTCACCCCGTGAGGCGGCACGGTTGGCTCAAGGGCCCCGCTGATCCAGCAAGGGGGCATGAGGGAAATGGCAGAGCTCCAACAGATCACTTTAGCCAGGACTGCATCCCCAACGTGCACCAGAATAGGCATAATTACACGAGGCAGTGTGGACTTAAAGGTAAAATGTCATCCCCACCAGGCCCTTGATGAAGGGAGTTTTGCTTTACAGAAGCCTTTTTAGGAGGTAAATTACATTAATTACCAACATTTAAAAACATCCAACATTTAAGGGTTCTGAATCTCTGATTTATTAGACAGCACAGAAATAACAGGTTTAAATTATTTTACAAAAAGAGCTCAAGCTGCTCATCAACAGCGATGGGGCTTGCTGGGGGTGGGGGGTGGGGGGACAACTCTTCAGACCACCACACGAGGACACAAAGACTCCCCGTCCTACACAAAGTCGGCATGAGAAGGCACACAGACAAGTTGTTTCAAGACAGAAAACAAAGAAATCCACATACTAAATAAGGTGTCCACAATGACTATCACGCATCCCTTAGGGGACAAGTATGCATTTGTAGGAAGCAAAACAAAGCTTTCCATAGAGAAACCACTTTCACGAGATGATTAGGTGGACCTGCAATGAAGAAAATACATTTCAAAAGACGGGTTCAGACTTGCACCAAGTTTTCACTGAAACACTTAAAAATGAGATCCTTCTCTGTACCAAAAGCGTTTTTTAAAAACACGTCATGGATAAATTTCAGCAAATGTCCAAGTCCCGTTCAAAAATGCACATTTGCAAATAATACATATGAAACACCGAAAGTCTGACAACACAAATACTATCTGGAAGCAGCTAGAACAGGCCAAGCTAAGTTCGTGTTCTGCTTCAGGGCATTACATTAAAGTGAATCTCATTCTCACTATAATTTTTTTCTTTTTAACCTTAATCACCAGTGGCTGGGCAACTGAAATGGACAGGAGAACTATATAAATGTCAGAGAAATATGTAAACCTCATTAATGTTTCCAAAAATTCATTTAGAGATAGAAACAGGTCCAAATAGATGCCTGTCTAAATGTACTGCAATTACGTTACAATTATTTTTCCAAATACACAGATATGCTCTGTCTTTTCTCAGCTCATTACTGACTCAAACAATTTGCCCTTCTGGGATCAATTGTTTGCTAATAAATAATTGTTTACAGTCACAAAATGAAGTTAGGAGGTTTTCTTATTAGTTTTCCTTCTGCACCCTAATAAGATTGAAAACTAGCTGATTCCCAGGAGTCTAACCTTAACCTCGCTTTGTTGAACAGCCCAGGAAACGATGAACCATCTGCTTCGGAAAATAATGGACGGCCAAGAGGAAATACTGTTTAATTGTAGATTAACCTCCTCATGAGGCAGTCTGAAGCAGCTTTAGAATTAGCAACTACAAGCAGCAAAAGAAACAAATGGCTTAAGAGCCTTTTCCTCCACCATTTAAGGTCCAGAAAGAATGCAAAGGGATTTTTGTTACCTATGTTTATTTACAAACATATTATTTCCACAGTGGAAACAAAAATCGTCAAGGTCAAAACTGATTCTCAAAAGTGCAATCACTGCCCTCCAGTTCTGTTTGCCCGAATACCTTTAATGCAGCAAACCATCAACCGTCTCATGCACTTAAGAGTGTTCGGTTTAAAAAAAAAATCAATCAAAACCACTTTTCCGTTATTTTCAGGTTCTTATAATATTAAAATTAATATATGTCCCTGGCTTCTTTGTTATTAGTAATAAATCCACCATTAGGGAGTACGAATTGTTTTATTATCATCAACATGGCACTTAAGTAAATGAAATCTTGTCAAGTACATGGTGACCTACAAGTTCAAAAGAAAAAAAGAACAGCATGAGATCAAAATGGCCGGCCAGGACAAGAAACACAAAAAGTGAGAGATTAAATGCAAACACAGCCCTTTATCCAACAGGCTTCACATGCTATGTCTGTTCTAAAGTCAAACCTGCGAAAGTATGCATGACAATTCAAAACTGAATACTCTGCCCCCTCTCAGGGACTCAACCAATTTAGCAAGGGTGTTAACTAAATCATTTTAACTCAGAAAAGTACAAGAATCCTGAAAACATTCAGTTATTCCATATTTATTGAGGCCTGGGTAGAGAGGAACAGGGACAAAGACCCATAGGGTAGGTATTTTATGATTTAACAAGAGCCTAACTATCAGTTTTCCCTTAGGCCTGGTGCAGGTAATGAAGCTTTGCCCTACTGGTACCAAAAAAAAAAAAAAAAAAAAATGTAAATTGTTCCGTTCCTCTGTCAACAGTTACGACCAAGAGCCAAAGACAGCTATGAAAATTTCAAAACTACGGAAATTTGCTTTTCCAGGCAAGGCCATATTATTCTGGGTTCCCAGTAAGACCTGAAGGTCATTCACTTTGTGTAAATGTTAAAGAAACAACCTCGGTGGAGAGGAAAGATTTTTGGCAGTTCAAATTCTTAAATATCTTAAACAGAATTTGCTACAATAAATTATTCTTGAATTCCTCAACTTAATTTTGAAGCAATGAGCTAGTAATAACTCCAGAGATTCAAATAATAGTGCCTATTCAAGAAGAATGAGAGTTTGACATTCTTCTCTACCAAACAACTGGGCACAATTTTATCCATCAGACGTCTATCAACCTACGGATATTGAAAGCTTGGGAGAACAAGATAAAATCAACTCCAACCCTACAGTCAGCTGTAATATCGAGCAGGCATCAACAATGCTATTCATGAATTTAGAAAAATTAATAAATCCTGGGTTGAATGCAAGAAAAGGCTCAAATACAGGTGAAGCATACTCACTTGGGTTTTGTTTCTGCATCTGTCACTTGGCGAATAAAGATACCATCTTCAGGATGTTCAGTGTCATCCATTTCATACATATACGATGATGCTATTGCAAGCGTGGTCCCATCATTACTGAAGGCAAGTGATGCGATGCTGGTGGGGTACCGATGGAACTGGCATAGCCGCTTTTTGTTAAACGGATCCCAGATGTTTACAAATCCATCAGAGCCGCCTAGAAGTCATTTCAAAAGAGGGAAAAGGGTTCTTAAAGCAGATACAGAAAAATACCATTATTAACTTAACGGTTAATTTTTAAGGTCACCGAAGTTACATTTTCCCCACAGAGGATAGTATAAAAATGTTTGCTCCCTAAATATCAGAAAGAGCAAGCACAATTTTTTTAAAACTCTGCCTAAGTATAAATGCCTCATGTTCAATGAAGGCAAAACGTGTCACCTTAGTGACGTGATGCAGGTTCACCCACCATACGGTACCTGTAGCAAACGTATTATGGATGTTGTGAAAGGAAATGGCATTGACCGGGTAAATCTGCTCAATGTTATTCTCCTTTAGTCTGTGACACTTGAAGGCATACTTCTTCTTCTGCACCTCGGGACTCGGGTCCAAGTACTCAACTGCAACTCGGCCTTCAATGGAACTTAATACATAACCCTGCCAAGAGGGAAGCAAATAAAGACAAAAATGGTGACTCCAGCATCCCAAAACAAGGCGCGGATTCCCAAATTTCCTAAAGAGGACTGTTTCAGAAATGGAAAGTAAGTACGGCCAGGTTTTAACCAGGTCCAGGTTGTAAGCTGTACTAAGAAAGCTATGACCATTCCAGAAGTTACAGAACACGAATATTTATTCTATGAAAAAAAGAAAAATAAGGTTATCGTGTCTAGTAATTCTGTCAAATACAGACAAGAATCCTCATTTATTTGTCCTGTCCAGAGGAGGCTCAAATGTGCTTTGCTCTGGGACCCCCACCTCCAACAACTGTGAGAACGGGGATTCCTCCAGTGGGGGGATCAACGATCCAAACCAGCTAGAACACCACCCTTCCGTCTCAGTCATCCTGCCCCTTGCATTTAACTACAGCAAGCTGAGCTCACAAACAGTCGACACAAATTTGCAACGCTCTTCAAAAACAGTTTACCATTTCAAACCTTTTCTCACCTTTCCTTGAAATGACAAGATGTCAAAAAAATTAAGATGTAAGATAAAGATGAAGCCTGTATTTGATTTTTTAAAATTTTTCAAAGTACAAAAAAGAATTATTCCTGAAGGTGACACAGGCAGAAGAAAAAAAAAAGCAGTGAAATCTTAAACTTCCATTCTCAACTAGAGATAGTCTAACAAAGTTTCAGATGTGACCTAAAAAGGAGATTAATAAATGCAAGGATATTTTAATCACGTGGTTAAATCTAGAAACCAATTCCTTATCTTCAATGGAAATTTACAATTTCCTGAGAAAAAGAACTGTAATCACCAGTTGAGGCACTAGCCTTTTGAGATAAAGGGCCAAGAGAATAACTAGCATAACTGCATCCAGCTCCTCAACCACAAAAGGACAGAAGATTCCAAAGACAACTGCCGCTTTTAAGGACTTTTCCTCTGGTAAAATTCTTACAGCAGCGGACCATACCACCAACTCTCCTTCGAACTTTAAAGCTCTGAGGGGAGAGGGGACTCACTAATAAACAGGGCAGTCTTGTTTCGCAGTGATGACGAGGGAGGGGAACCCGGAAACCAAGAGTAAGTCATTAGTAAGGAGCATGGCCTCTAGAACTTCAGTGGCTTTTTTCTTTTTTTTAATCCAAGTGCTGCTTGCTGTCAGACCTGCTAAAGAACTCTATTAGTGTTAGTGTTACAAAGGGGCAAAAGAAAAAAAAAAAACACACCAGCAAATCCTTAATCCTAAATTTCCAGATTTAAGTCTGAATTCATGGGTTTGGTGACTGGAAATGTCTGCAAAGTCCTCCTGGATTACCGTGTACCTGTGAAGCATCCGGGACCAAGGAGTCAGAAGACCTCTGTGCAAACCACAGTAGATGATGTCACTTCTCTGAATGTCAAGGTCTTCTCTGAAACCGGGTTAACACACTAGTCTGTAACACAAGGCTGCTGAAAATGGATCTGACAGCAAATTCTAAACCGCTACTCATTAAAAACAAAAGAGAAGCGAAGCTTTAAAAGGAGTGACCAATGAGATCCCCTTATTTTCAAGCTGGAGAAGGGGGTGGGGGGGCGGGCACAGGTACGCACCTGCTTGTTGGGAAAAGCCCGTATGCAGCGGGTCTGGTACTTCAGGCTGGACTCCCGGCGCTGCTGCACGTAGCCCATGTTCCGTAAGTCCCACACCAACACCCTGCGGCCCGCAGTGCCCACAATCAGCCGGTCCCCGGACACCGAGAGCGTGTACACCTTTCAAGAAAAACCAAAACTCACTCAAATCCACCTATTTGCCAGAAAATGGTATTTGGTCCCCCAAAAAAGTCCACTAACGCTAAAACCATAAAGAAGTTAGCTGATCAGGTTCTCAAACAAAGGTATTAAATTCTAAATATTAACGCTTTACAAACCAAGTAATCTACACAAAATAATCAACCCAATATATTCTTAACACTTAGCCAAGTCCTGCATTACACACATTCTAATTCTGCAAAAACACTTTGGAAGACTTAATTCTCTTGGTGACTAAAACAAACTAAATTACTTACCAGTTTTTCCAGGCCTGTTTCATTTAGTGACAGTGTGAAAGTGTAAAATCTACTCAAAAAGGACACAATAAAGCCATAGAACAATTCATGATACCTCTCCACGGGCATCTAACTTTTCATGAAATCATCATTTTCAAAAGTTATTTTTCTACGACCACCTTTTGAAAAAAGATTTCATGTTGTGACTCTAAGAATCCTGATTTTCTCAGCTGTCACACTGAACAAATCGGGCTCTCTCAGAAGAACGAAGAAACCAACATTAGTTAGCTGCTTAGCTGCTTTTTGTGCCACATGAACTCAAAAGACGAGGAGAGTGGACTGGCATGTGACCAAGCACATTCTTGTGCCCTGATGTCATACTAAACACTCAAGACAAAATTCATCGTTAGTGAAAATTTAAAAAGCATTCCCCCCCAAGAAGCCTCTATTCCTCCCCCTCATGTCCTTTTTAATATTAAAACAACTTTCACAAAAAATTCCTTTATAATAAATCAGAGAATTTCCTGCAAGCAAGCATTGCAAGGGGTTTATTTTCAAATGTTATTTGGGGACCAATCAGATAGCAAATTGATGAAAATGGTGGCAAAACATATTTTCCCGATCATGTTAAAGAATTTTTTTAAATCAAGACTTTAGATATATAATTGTACTCTGGTTATTACTTTCAACTAATAAACGACTCTAATTGAATGTGATTATTTAATACTTTAAAACTGAAAGAATCACTCTTAAAAAAATGAAGAAGACCTTTGAGAGGGTAAGACATTTCTGTAACATTCAAGTAGTTAAAACACAAGAATAGTAATCACCAGTGTGTTAACTACATACACCAACCTAAAGTACCAAGTTAGGTTTAACACTTAAGAACCCAATCATCTCCACAATCTGGCCTTAAAATTCAACAACTAATTTGACTAAGGGAAAGATTAGTAATTAGAAAGATTCAAAACAGGAGATTTAATTAATCTCATTTAAATAAGAAAAATGTAAATCTTTACCAGTGTCTTCAAAAAACACGTTTGCAGAAAAATAGAAATTAACCTAAGACATGTGAAACGCCAAACTTAAAAAACACAGAATCCAAAAAGAGATCGATTTATACTAGTACGATCAGACTGGGAATTTTATCTTAAATCTTTACTATACAGGTGACACACAAGCTTCTAATAGTGCTTTCTATCCCCACTGATCGTAAATCAAGTGAAACCACGGTCAGGCTACTGACTAGGTCTATACATTTATCAAAGAAAGTATTAAAAAAAGTGACATAATGAACCTTACTGAACCAATAAGCAGCTTGATTCAGTGTGGCTGTCCATTATACGATATTCTGTCTGCAATTTATCACCGCTCTTAACATGTTACATACAACCATAAATCAAAACTAGAAACAATGCAATTATTTTATTCTGAACAAAGGTCTTGCCAGGAGTAGATTCGACTGTGATGTGACAAAAATAATGGCTCTTTGGATGCGCTACAGTATATAATGATGGCTAACAGGAACTGAATAGTATATTTACACTAAGGAAATAGACTCAAGTGAAGGATACCTTTAAACTGCTAAAACAATCAATCTTTAAAATTAACTACCACCTGATAAAGCCTGATGAGGCTACAGCCAAGAATGCTCAATTACTTTCATTGTCCAGATGAAAAGGTTAGAATAATACACAAAGTTCTGGTTTTAAAAAAGCTTCCCTCACTAGAGCCTTCAAACTACATTTACTGATAGAGGGGCGCCTGGGTGGCTCAGTCGGTTAAGCGTCCGACTTCAGCTCAGGTCATGATCTCACGGTTCGTGGGTTCGAGCCCCATGTCGGGCTCTGTGCTGACAGCCAGCTCAGAGCCTGGAGCCTGTTTCAGATTCTGTGTCTCCCTCATCTCTGACCCTCCCCTGCTCATGCTGTCTCTCTCTCAGAAATAAATGAAACACTAAAAAAAAAATTTTTTTAATGAAAAAACCAACCTACATCTACCGATATTAAAAATAAATACATCAGGGGCGCCTGGGTGGCTTAGTCGGTTAAGCGTCCGACTTTCGACTTTCACTTAGGTCATGATCTCACGGTTCGTGGGTTCGAGCCCCACGTCGGGCTCTGTGCTGACTGCCAGCTCAGAGCCTGGAGCCTGTTTCAGTCTGTGACTCCCTCTCTCTCTGACCCTCCCCTGCTCACACTGTCTCTCTCTCTCTCTCCTAGAAATAAATAAAACATTAAAAAAATAAATAAATAAATAAAATAAATACATCAGTGGCAAGAGCCAAGGAATACAGGACACCTTTCCCACCTCAAGTGATAACCCATTTCACCCTCTTAACAATCCACTCAAATGAAACCTCAGGTCGTAAGTGAAAATGAGTGATGTTCCGTCCCACTTCCTGGTTTGGGCAGGTCAAACCCAATTTAAGGCAATCCAACAGTCTTTGCTAAATGACTTCTCTGAAAAGGCTCTGAGTTGCCTCTCAGTCCTGGGATTTAAAGCATTAATAATATATAGCCATGGGTTTATTAACTGGTGCTATCCAGCACAAATAGGACAAGAGAAAAAAAGTTGACCCACAACACCAAAATTCATTTCCTTCTGCTTCAAAATATCTATGTTGTAAAACAGACTCATCAGGTTTTTTTTAAGTATTCCATTCGCCCAACATGGGGCCTGAACTCATGACCCTGAGATCAAGAGCTGCATGCTCTACTTACTGAGCCTGCCTGGTGCTCCTCATCAACTCGTAATTAACCTTCAAACTCAACACCATCTTCATCAAACGTGTACCAAGTCAAATCCCCCGTAAGCCTAAAATTCCTGTTATGAATGGAAAGAGCCTACCTTTTCAGGCTGAGAGAAGGTCCCTGCATTACAAGGAGTTCTGGGATCCCACAATTTAACTGTCTGATCCCAGCTCCCTGTAACCATCACATTCACTTCTGGACAGTATTCAACACATCTGATAGGGGCGTCATGGGTTCCAACAAGATTTTCTACAGAGGGGAAAAAAAAAGAATAAATCACCCACCTTTACTACCTCTCCCACACAAAGATTCCTCAAGTGAATAGAAGGAAACATTCATTAAACTGTAATGAATCCGCTTCCACCAACTCGATGAAAATGTCCGCATACAGAAAAATTTCTCCATGACTACAAATAGTCATCCATTCCTCTCTGATCATCTTACAATGCATAGTTTGATTCACTGACATGACACATACCAAAGGCTGACTTGGATTTCACATTGCATTAAATTGGTGGCATAGCTGTTATTTTCCTCACTTGATTCTAGATTCCTTAAAATCAGAAACCCTGTCAAACTCTACAGTTCTGACTTTATCTACTGCAGGTCCTGGTACATGGTAGGTACTGAAATATCTGCTGAATGAATAAATGAGCAGAGAACTCTCATCTTTTGGAACTGGATAAAACTTCCTGCCTTAAATCAATATTTATAAGAAACTTATTTATGTACCAGTTATTATCTGAAAGCTAGGGGATAAGGAAAGCAGGGAGTCTCAGGGTGAGTCCAGTTAGCTTTCAAATGGTGGGTCAAATTTCCAATACACAATTTCCTTCCTTTCAATGTCAACTCTTCACACAATCTCATTCATTCATTCAACTAACATCTACTAAATGTCTAGGATGTGCCAAAATCTATACCACGTGCTAAGGACACAACAAAGAATAAGTGGTCCTGATCCTCAAACAGAAAAGCTACCTATGTAAAAAACATATCACTGAAACAAGAAAAAAAAACCTTCATGAAGTTCAGCAACAATCTCCTGAGAATAAACAGCTAATTCCCCTAATTATAGTGTCCGTATCAAAAATCTTTGTATTTCAGTAGTTTTTTTCCTCCTAAATTTCCCAACAAAGAGGACTCAAACCTGCAAGCTAACTTCCTATGCAGAATAAGCTGCTAACAAACAAAACCAAACATCTGCAGTTCTAAGTTACGTGACAAGGGGACTTTCATGAAATAGCCTTTCCTAAGTTTGGGTTTTTTTGACTCAATATTGTGGGTTTTTTTGACTCAATATTGTGCCCTTCCATTGTCCAACTCACCTTCCTCTAGCCATATCTTTGTACCTTGCCAACTGCTTCAAGTACATCTCTACCTAATATATGCATATACAAAAAAGACATTTTTTTTAATGTTCCAAGAGCTCTGTGCATTGAAGTTCCATTCCACTTCAGCTCTGCTCCAAAGTCACCATAGAAAATTGAGTAAGTCATTTCCTATCAGCACCTTAATTATTTTCTTAATTTATTTAGTTAATTTCTTAAATTAAAAGAAAATGGGTCATCTTATTATTCATTCAATAAATGTAACTCAGGCATATTCTAGTCTTAACTAATCACACAAGTGGAATTAATATAGAAGCTGGATACGACTGGCTATTTATTTTATAACAGGTTTTTAGAACTCTCTCTTCCTTCAGTCTGAACCAAACTATCTTCTGAAAAATGAACACTCAAACATCACCGCGGTCCTGGAAATTCCTAACGTACAAAGGAGACTACTACAAGATCCGCTCCCTTCTGAGGACAAGTAGAAGTCACATACCGAAGGGCAACTTCATGTAAATACTTAGAATGGAGATCCTAATGGAACTGCATTTACTGAGAAAATACATGCACAGTATTTTGTGATCAGTAACTTACACGTCACTTCAACAAAAAAGTCCTACATTTAAGCCACTTTTCCTTGCACCTAAACACCTTGGGAACAAAGCAATTCAGGAACCACTCTTCCTAAATAAATATTTACACTTTGGTACCTGAACTGAGAAAACAATAAACTGGTAGAAATGTGGTCATATTACCTTGATCAGTGTTCAAATCATGCATTTTCAACTGATGGTCTAACCCCCCACTCCATGCATGTGTTGGATCCTACAAAATAAAAGTTTCAAGTCATTTAAAAGTTACAGACATTTACAAAGTATTTCAAAATTCCGGTTTCTACAGCCATCTGTTCACTTTACGCTCAGGATAATGTACACTGGGTTCTCGTTCTCTCTCTCAGGATGATATACACTGGGTTCTCGTTCTCTCTCTCTCTGTCTCACACACACACACACACACACACAACCACAAGCACACAAAATAAAGCAAAAACTACATCAGCAAATTAAGGAGAAATGTTTCAGCACACGGGCTGAGAGGAAAACAGGCATTTCTATTTCCTAGTAAAAAAAAGTTAAAAAAAAAAAAAAAAACCTTCCTTTTTATAAGGCAACCAAATTCTACTGTCTTGTTGCAAATTTCAAAAACATCTGTCACATATCCAAAAAGTTTGCAGGGTTACTCGATTTCGATTTGAAAGGGGACCGAGTTTCACCTATTTCTGCATAACCCCAATGCCCAAAAAGAAAGAAAGAAAGAAAAGAAAGAAAAAGGTGTTTGGTGGCTCAAGACAAGTGTTGAGGAAAATCTTAAGAGCGCCCTCAATAACGAGGGACAGAAACGTCTACCGACGCCGTCAGAAGGCCGCTACGAACACAGGACCCCCTACAACGAAGGGGGCAGGTGCGCGAACGGAGGACACCCACGTAGAAGGCGCAGTCCAGCACGGCGCCCGTGTGCTGGTACTTGAGCCGCATGGAGTTGGCCGGCACATCGTAGAGGCGCACCGACGTGTCCCAGGAGGAGACCAGCAGGAACTGCGACGTGTTGGGGCTGAACTTGACCGAGGAGATGCCGTCCTCGGGTGGCTGGTTCAGTTTGAACTCGTTAGAACCGGTCATCTACGGAACAAGCTACCAGTCAGTCCCCAGAGGTCCGGGACGGGGTGCTGGGCTGGTCGAGCAGGGAGGCGCGGCGGGGGCTGGGGGGTCGCGGTGAGGGGGTGCCTCGTCGGCCCCGGGCTGCCTCTCCCGGGAGGGACCTAGCGAACGTAGGCTCCTGGGCGTCTGCGCCTGCGCGGAGCGTGCGCGCCCACCGCCTTCGAGACTTCCCCCCCTCCCCCGCCGCCCCAGCTCCGCGCCCCAACAGGCCCGACCCCCACCAGCGCACCCCTAACTCCAGCCCCCGGCATTGCCCGCCGCGGGCTCCCGCACCCCGGCGCTTCCGCCGGGCCTACCGCCCCGGTTGCTCCGAAAATAAAGAGCGACGGAAGCGAACGGACTCCCTGCGGACGGCTCTGCCAGCTCCGGACCTGGGGAGTCCCCGAAGGGCCCGGCCCTGCGCCCGGCCGCCTCGCCCCGCTACCTTGGGCTCCCCTCTGAAGCAACTTGGTTGCCGCTCGCGGACGCGCCACCTCCTCGCTTCCCTCCGAGCACTCGCGGGCTGGGCGAAAGAGGCGGAGAGGAAGCTCCAGCCTCTTGCTGCAATTGGCTCATTTCAAACGCCAACGACTCATTCGAGGCCGCCAATTGGTCCGCTCCGAGGCCCCGCGCCGGTCAACCCAGTCATCTTGTTCCGGCTCAAAGGCAAACCACGGTTTTTCCGATCACGTGGTCTCCCTTTCTCCCGAGGCTGAGCACGCCTGCCCGTGAGGAACGAGTGGAAACTACAATTCCCGAAGAGCATCGCGCCGAGGCTGCGCTCACGCTCTCTCCCGACCGTGTGCGGCGCGCTGGGAAATGTAGTTTCCCTGGGGCCAACGCCCTGCCGGTTTTCTGAACAGTAGGTGGGAAAGATGCTCTTTCCAGTTGGACCCTTGGGGCCCTCCCCAACTCAGCCTCTCAGATTTAAAAAATCTCATTTTGGTCAATACTTCTATAGAAATAAATTATTCTTTCTTTCACTAGACATGCATACGCCCATAAAGTTAACCAATTATTGGAGTGGAGAAGGAAAGATTTGCACTAACCATTTGCATTATTTTGCCCTGATTTGTTCTCATTTTCCTGGGGTTTCCACCTGTGAACCAGGGTCTCACATTTACCATTGTCTTAAGATCTATTGATACCACAGAAACACCCTTATTTATACTATGCTTTATCCCTCCATTCCATCTTTTTGCAAACAATTCCTGAGCAGGCCTGGTGATAGAGAGTCTGGGAAGATGTATCAATCAGATACTCCTTGCTCTTGGGGGGACTCTGTCCAGAAGGGTGGATAGTCTGGAAAACAAACAATTACTCCCCAGTGTGTTAAAGCCCAAAAGCTTAGCTTAGCTCTAAGGAGCGCATTAGCTCCTTAGACATATGTTTAAGGAGGGTCCTAAAATGACAGCTTCTCCCCATCCATTTCCACCCCCAAAACTCCCTAGAGTTTCTGGTTCTAGACTCCTTCAGAAATAGGAGAATCAAGAAGGTTGCTCTGTCACTGACATAATCCCCATGAAAGAAAAGTAATTCTTAATTTATAACTAGAATGCTGTGACTCAGTTTCTCTTGAATATCAAAAACTCACTGACAATTTTACTTTAATCCATACTGCGACCACTTTTTCACTGCCTTTTATGAAAAAAAATCTTATTTTATTATGTGAGTTTGTATGAAGCGGGAGGACATTGTTGGAGTGAAAATGTTTAACTTCTAAGATACACTAACAGAGAAAAAATGTTGCTGGCCTTTATACATTCACACACTCTATTCGGGTGCATTTCTTTTTATGATTCTCAGCACAATAAACACACGCACAGAAACCACATTTCTGCCCACTGTGCTGATATGACTCCTAAAAGTACAAAGTCTTGCCCTCCCTCTTCACCAGTCCTCATACTTGGTTCTCCGTCTTTTCTCTTTCAACAAATTAATGGTGAGGTTGAGAATTTTAAAATGCAGTGCCTTGCCCCCATTCTAACTTTGGCTAAATAATTTTATCTCCAAATAATTCTATTTGGTTCCCTCTCCCAGTTGTTTATTTAATTCTATTAGAGTTTCGAGATTCTGAGCATGAATTATCTGCTAATAAAATCTAAGTGTATTTCATTATACAGTGTGTGTATGATTCAGGTCCCTCTGGGCAGGCAGTTGCAGCTGGACTCCATTTGAGTTTTAAGAACCGTCAATCTTTTAAATTCAGTTTACAGCCTGAAAGGAGGCTGATGATTTTGCTGATTATTCAAATGAATTGATAGTCTTGAGATAGGAGATCTGGCCACGATGGAGTCTTGAGAACATTTTAAATCCAAATTCAAAGTTGTGTGTGTGTGTGTGTGTGTGTGTGTGTGTGTGTGTGTGTGTGTTAACAGTTACCTGTAAGATAGAAGAATTCCTAGAAACTAATTACACTGTTGGGTCACCTTTGACTGCTAATTTCTGGATTGGTGAAGAGATTGAAATATCCAGTATATGACAAACTGGAAAAGCTTCATCCTTGAAATCTTAAGGGCAAAATCACTCTGCCAGTAAGAGCCTAGACTGGCTAGAGAAAACCACTCCCTATAAGAGTAACAGTGTAAGGAGGATATAGTGACCCATCGCTGTTAAAGCCATCATCTCTTGACAAACATAATCTACTGAAATGCAGACAATAATGATATGGATGGGATATTCCTATACAGGTAGTTCCTTGAGCAAATGGGCTATTTCTCCAAAATATACAAATAACACTTTAAAGGAAAAGAATTTAAAGTGGGTCATCGGAAAAGAAAAACTTCATAGAAATAAAATACATGGACCAAATAAATCAGAAGAAAACGGATCCAGTGTCATTTTTGTTTTCACTCTCTGCCTATACAATATTTAGAGTTCTCAGCAAGTTCTAGGGCTCAGTAAATATTTCCTGAATTTAACTTAGCTGAAATGAAATAAGTAGGCTAGAACAAACTTAGCATTGGAGGATGCGTTCTCGGATAACAGCCTTCTGACGTCATCTTGAAAGAGACTGTAATTTCCATGAAATCTTAGGTGAGAGGAAAACAATGACCTCAAAATGGACAACAGACGCAGCACTTCCGACAGAATACTGCGGGTCACACAGGCGGTTTACAGATATCCTATATTTTCATAAAATACTGATAATTTCGATGCCTCTCGGCTCAGAGACAAGTCGATCACGCAAATTTTTTCCCTTCTAGAGGATGAGGTCCGACCTCCGCGTTGCGCACTCCCAGCTCCCTTGCACCGACTAAGGGGGCCTCAGAACCTGATGCAGGAGGACCGGGGAGCTGTCCCCACGTGACCCCGGACCATCCTCCAAGTCTACGGTCCAGCCCTCTTTTCTGATGTTTTCGCAACCGGCGGCTGCGATCAAACGTTGCAAAACTCTGCGAAGTACGTGCCGCTCGAGCTGCTATTCTCTGGGTGCCTCGCCCTGGCATCCGGTGGCGCGAAAGCCTGTGGGCGTGCAGGCGGCGCGCCGCGATCCCTTTCGGCGCGACTGGCCCAGCGCTTGGCCTCGACCCCGCCGTTGCGCCACGCACAATGAAAACGATAAACAGCAACAAGTTTTTTAAGTGCGGGGAAGCGCCTCCGCCTCCCGCGCTTTCTTTGCCTCGTCTCCAGCCTCAGATCCCTCCTCCGCCGAACCGTCTCCTTTCCGCACCCGGTTCGCGCGCTGGGAGGGACGCGCACCGGCTTCCCAGCCGCGCGGCTGCAAGCCTGGGGCGCCAGTGGGGGACGCGCAACGCGGGCTCATTACCTGGTTCAGGCAGCGCCACCCCACCTGACCTTCGCCCTCGGAAGGAGGCGCGTGGCACAATTTGCACAACGTCGCAGGGCGCCGTGTTGCGGCCAAGCCCAAGGAGCTCGTAGCGCGGAGTAGACGCTGGGTCCAGCGAGGCAGCGCTTCAGCAGTGAGGCTCCCGGCCTTTGTCCCTCTCCGCGCGGGCTCCGGAGCTGGATTCCGGTCCGGGTGCACCACGGCCTGAGCCAGGACTATGGGCATCAAGGAGTGGACGGGGGTGCAGCTCCATTCCACGTGCCGTCTCGGCGGCGCCCAGGTCCCCACCTTTAACCCCTGACCTTGGTGCCACCCACCCTCCACGTGGGGCGAGCCGGCCTCTACTGTCGCACGCTTCCACCAAACACCAAGAAAAGCCGCGCGTTAGCACGCTGGGCAATCAATCTCACCAAACTTGGCAACGATGCTTAAAATGTTTTATTTTTTTTTTCTCTTTAAAAATATGTACAGATCTGAAACCTCCCCCCTTCCGCCCCTACCCATCCTCGGGACGAGGGAAACGAAGAGAGGCGTTGAGCTCAGTGTCCAAAGCCCCCGCTGGCTTGGCCGGATGTGCGTGCGTGTACCTACCCACAGGTGTGCATATGCGGTGAGGAGTGTACCTGTTTTGGTTGGTGTTTTTTCTGATCGCCCCCCCCCCCACCAATCACCGTCGATCTGGCCGAGACTCCCTTTCCCACCACCGCCCGAGAGCATCCCCTCCAAAATGGTCTTCGAGGCGCACTGGTTTTGGTTGGGGGTGGGGTGGGGGGAGAGGGGGTAAGAAAGCAGGCGATCCGGCGGGCGGAATGCCGATAAATACCCGAAACCATCGAAAGGAAAAGTAGGGCAGAGGCCATAAATAAGAGAGAACGAATACACATGGTGTATTTCTTAATATTTCTGGCCCCACGCCGCCCGGCTCCCGGAGCCCCCCGGGCGGGGGGCGGGAGGGGGAGGGGGGAGGCGGGCAGCCGCGGGCGGCCCGGGGCGCGCGGCGCGGGGCCGGCGGCCGCTCAGTAGTCGAGCTTGTTGTAGAGGTTGTAGAGCGGTAAGGCCGAGAGGTTGGCGCCGGGGTAGTAGAGCGGCGCCGGGAAGGCGAGCGAGCGCGGCACCGGCACGCGCAGCAGCGAGCTGTCCCGGAACACCAGCGGCATTCCCACCAGAGTCTGCGCCGACGCGTGCGCCATGTTGGCCGCCTCCAGCTCGGCCGAGAGCTGCCGCTTCCACTTGTTGCGGCGGTTCTGGAACCAAGTCTTGACCTGCGTCTCGGTGAGCTGCAGGCTGGAGGCGAGGCAGGCGCGCTCCGAGCTGCTCAGGTAGCGCTTCATGTCGAAGGTGGACTCGAGCTGGTACACCTGGCTGCGCGAGAAGACGGTGCGCGTCTTCTTCTTCGCGGCGCCCGCCTGCCGCTCGGCGCCGCCGTCCCGCGGCCGCTCGGGCCCCGGCGACGGCGAGCCCGCGGGCAGGAGCCTCTCCTTCTCTTCCTTAAAGTCCGGGTGCGAAGGAGAGAGGAAAGGCGTGCGCTCCGAGCTCGCCGGCCCCGCGCCGCCGCTGCCCTTGGGGGTACCTGGGGAGTGAGAACAGACGGGAAGGCATGGAGCTGGGGGGCCCTCGGGAAGCCCCAGCTCTGGCCAGGCCCCGGGGTGCGGGGGTGGCGATGCGGGTGGCAGGCGGCTGCAGCCGTGGTCCCAACCCCTTCCCCTTCTCCCTCTCGCTGGAACCCGAAAGCCCAGCACCCTGGCCTTGGAAAGCGACGGGAG